AAAATGCTATGCATTTTGGATAAGGAGAACTAAATGATAACACATATAGGTAACAGAAATGAAGTACGTTCACGCTAGTATCTACATTTCAATGCTCAGAACACTTGTGTCAGTGGAAGAAATTTGTCAATTTTTTTGTGCACATGAATGTTGTATGACAAGTCAGGAAGAGGCCCACAAATGTTACAGGTTTTTGAGTATATCCTTTGAATTTTGGACTCATTGGGGGATTGCCTCCTCCGCTTCATAAATATTTTAGAGAAAAAATATTCAGAAACTAATGTATCCATCTTATTAAGTACAATCAGAAAGCTGTTTGAAATCACAGAAGTGCAAAAGTATCAAAAAGTCTACACTCATGATGCTTATGACAGAAAACTCAAACCAAAGTTGGTATCCATGAACTTCTACCTCATTAAGACAATCCGCTCATCATGAGAAGTTATGGTCTAACAAGTCCCCCTTCCACTATGTAGAATAATATACTCGCCAGGCATGTTTTTTGTTGTTTTCTAATAATGTGATAAACTCCATATTTGTGGGAAATCTGTGCATCTACTATCTTTCCTTTTATTTTTTTTCTAAACCCTCTTTTACTTTATTCCATTTCACGTAGAAACTTGCAATTATAAAGACACAAATTTGTATACCTTTTAAAATATTTTAATGTTTATATAAAAATGGTTAGTCCCTTTGCAATCTGTTCACCAGGCATTCCCCGACAAACTCAGCTATACAGTTTCCAGGCCTACAAAATGGAAGCTCTGCTATGCTGCTTATGTTTTTCACTTAGAATAAGAGTGAATATAAACAGTGAATATATAAACTAGCACTGAAGGTAATAAACTTATTAAAACTTAGTAAGATATTGTTATGGTCAAAGAAAAGCTGCAAGTATGTGCCACAAATCCACTCAGATGAAACATCTCATTCAATAGAATTTCTTCTCTTATAATAATGCACAGAAAATTAAACACATAAATATTAATTTTATGTATCACAGAAAATGTAGGCAATGAAAATGCAATGTTTACATTTATGGGTGACTCATTAGTGTTTTATTGTGTGAAACACTAGGAGGCATCAGTTGGGTAAAAAAGGACTTCAATTTTTAAAGAAGCAAGAAATTACTGTAGAGTGGATGTGTAAGAAGTTAGGGTTTTCAAAATGTTATTATGTAAACCAAAACTTGATTCTATGAAATAAACTCTCAAAACATCATATTTTGTTGTAAAGAATAATCTGTACATCATATTCATGAAATACATATAATTTGACCAATAAACACCTATCAAGATATATTTCAAATGTATAGATTCATAACTATGTAATTATACATTTTTATGAAGAATATATTTGGTAACAGAATAACATAATGGCTATTGACTACTGTGCATTTTCTGCTCAGTTATTCAATAACATGAGTGTATGTTTTATTTCTGGCAAATCCTGTTTTGTGCTCTCTACAACGCCTCTGAAAATGCCTACTGCAATTAAACCTTAGGATAACTGCTTCACGTAAGCAGCCAGAACTTGATATCTGTTCATCAAGAAGTGATAGAACTTGAAATTTAAGCAATGAAGGTATATACATAAAGGACATGTTTTCTCTTACTTCACTACTGAAAGGCTGTCACTTGAAAACTGAGTTTTCTATTGTTTGAATGGCTCTTCATAATGATGAAGCAACAGGGTTGTGGTATACTTATCTAGCAATCATTTGAAATTGGAGTGTCTTGCCATTCCTCAACAATCAGCTTTTATCTTTGACCTATCAAAATAACATGTGAACTGCGTAATCCGCCTTTTGTAAGGTGCACAGACTCTGTTGTTGCTCCTGGTTTTGTGAATCGCCTCTGTAATCTGGTTTGATTTCCTAAAGATGACAGATCTCGGTGAACAGTCAGGCTTTACTGAGTGCAGGGCAGTCCACGCGCCCGTGAGATTAAGGTACAGTGCTGAGGTCGGGGATCTTAATCACCTATCCTTCTACACGCAGCACACAGAGTGAACATCAGTGATTAACTCTTTTCATTGTGTCCAGGCAATCACTACATTCATAAAATGAATATGTGCATTTTTATAAATTTTAGATATTAATCTGCCTGGTGTGTTCTCTGAGGATGTGCTTTTGAAAAAACAAAAGTAGAACTTAAGTAATAATCTCTCTAAAGTCCATTCTGTAACCCTCAATTGCATATGAAATTCTCCCACGTTGTTTTGAATCACGTCCCTGAAGCCAGGGTTCTATGCTTAATACATATATATATATATATATATATATTTTTTTTTTTTGGTTATTATGTAGCACAAGTGTTGCTGCACAGATATTTCCCCATTTTTGTGACTTTCTGAGATTTCATAGACCTAAAACGTACCGCGTGTAGTGTTGGGAAATAAGACCACAAAACATACTACAATAAACAGAAGAAAGTTTTGAAATATTATGTTAACATATACCAAGGAGTTATTTAGCTCAGCTTTTTATAAAAGAAATTTAATATAATAAATCATTTATTAAAAAGATATGGTTGTAGGGTTATTCAATTTATTGACTCAGTGTAAAAATGAGGGCCAAGGAAGAAATACATAGAAATCTGAAAAATATAAAACATGATGCTTTTTCAGTATTCTATCTTGAATCAATAGACACTCCTTTTCATTACTGGAAAAACATTTCCACCACATTTTGAAAATTGAGTATGTTTATAAAAAGAAAAGAGGCAAGGTGCAGTAAAGTCCTTGTTATTTAAATTTCATGTATTTAATGTTATGTGTTCCTATTTTGGAAAGTTAGTAAGATATGTGATTGCATACTTTTAAAGTATGAACAGCGCAGAAAAGATGGAAAATTGACTTATTATAAAGTGTTCATTGTTATTTAAACTTAAGAAACAAATTAATATTTAATAAAAGTCAGGTCTTTAATATTGTCTTCGATGTGCATACACAGCAATCAGAATGTAAATAGCGAAATTAATGAGAGAAGGAAAATTCTGCCTTTTGTAAGATGTCTGGAAAATATGCCACAAATACTCCAAAGCTTTGTGAATGCAAATGACAGTAAATTTTTATAAAGTTTGGTAAAACTTGAAGCTAAGGTAACTGCCAACTATTGTCTCTTTAACGTGACTTGGGAATCATATTTTAAACATTGAGTTTAAAGTGTGCTTTGATGGAAACTTTTAGAATTGAGTTTGTAGTATACTATACAGCCAAAAGTACTTTCCAACAAATAGACTGAGATTTTTGACTTTAGAGATTTTTTTTGAGATGGGATACTGGATAGGCATATCTCATTTTACCTGCGAGTTCTGAATCCACTTGCTTTAGAACTACTTCTTCTAACTTAATAAATTTATACATACATTGGGAGACAATAACATGGTTTATTAACTGCATTATATTTAACTGAAACTCATGGAAAAACAAAAATACTGCTTGTGCCAGATTTGTACATACTGAACATTTTCAAAGACTAGCCAAAACTGGTTATTATTTTTAAAATTAAGTAAAATGTTTTAGTTTCAAATTGGAGAACTGGAGATTGTTAACCTATTTAAAGCTAAACTTAGTATGGAATACAGAGGTTAAATGGGGTTCACAGGTGGTCACATTTCCATGTCCTTCCAAGTCTCTAGAGATTGGAGTTATTATACTCTACATAAACATCTTTACTCTGCAACCACAATTCCACTGCAAGGTGCCAGTGAAAAAGAGGCTGGTCACTTTTTTTTTTTTTTTTTGCCTGGTATAATGAGGTGGCTGGAGTTCCCTTTATAGCATACAAAATATATGCAGTCACTAACCATTTCATAAGACAGTGACTATTAGAGTTAGTATCAGATTCACAATAGTAAGATGCACTTTGTGTCAAAGCAATTCTCCACTGAGGACCAGTTAAAGAACTGGCAGAGAGCCTGATTCTACCTATTATACTGTCAGCATTTACATATAAAGGTGTTTTATACAAAAGACACACATTCCTACAACGTGAAGAAAAGAGCTTTTTCCAAAAAAAAAAAAAAATGATAACTACTGGACCTAGACTAGTCAGAAATGTGTCCGATATAAAATTTCCTCTAAGAATTAAGAGCCATATTCTGGGAAGAAGATGACATTAGTAGCACAATTAAATCCTTGCATAAATATAATAAACAATGTGTTGTGTCTCTCCATATATACTTCCTTTGTGCCAAACTTTATCACTGAGTTTGGTAACTTTCATCCAAAGTCCAAACAGAAGGCAATTAAAGTGACTTAACCTTGTTTCTTTTTAAAGAGCCATGTATTTGACTTGACCTGAACAGCAGTGCATATACTAAACCCCAACACAGATTGTAAAATGTAGAGCCTACCATGGCCAGGGTATCACTTTTTTTTTTTTTTTGTCCACACCAATGAGAAGCCCTCTATCAAGCCAGCGCTTTGGTAAGGGAAGGAGATGCACAAAGGTATATACTCTGACAGACAGCCATGCTTTAGCTCAAACTAATCCCAAGAATTAGTGGCTCAGAAGCCTAACCCAGAGCAAATCAGAGACTTTGGGGGGCCTCACAGGAGCATCTTTCCACAGTAAACTAGCGGCTAATCTTAAGGAATGTACTTCAAGGTCACAGAATATCCTGTGAAATATTAAAATCCACCAGGCTCCACACGCTCCACCATATCAAACATGCTAATGACGTGAACTAACTTCATGAAACTTTAAACACACGGGTGTGACAAGAACGAGTCAGGAGTGATTTCAATAACTGATGGCAAACAGAGAAGTCTTAAAAAAGTTACTTTTAGCAACAGACCAGGAAATCACAGAATCTTAAAAAAAAAAAAAAAAAGAAAGAAAGAAAGAAAAAAGAAAAAAGAAAAGAATGCACAACCAACCTCAACTCCAGCCTTCCAAAAAGGCACAAGCATAGACCCAGGGCCGTGGAATATACTGATGCAGAGACAATACCCAGGCTATTTCTATTTCCTCGAGAAATGTCAGAGGTACTTACATGAAGGAAGACCCGATCAGATTAGTCCTTGGGATATTTTCCTTTCTTAAGAGAGAGAGAAAGAGAGAGAGAGAGAGAGGAAAAAAAAAATAACAATGATCTTTACTTCGTCCAGCCTTGAAGTGTCTCTCCACCTGATTCAAACATGCAGCCACGGCGACCCACACAGAACCTTCAAAGTCAATCCAATAGCAGCCTGAAGATGTCTGGGTGTACGCGTGTGCTCAAGTGTCTGTGACTGCGAGCAGCGCGAGCAGAGAGCTGGAGCCCGAGCGTGCGCGCGCGCACCGGGGGAGCGCGCGCGGGGGAGGCGCGCGCGGGGCCGCGCACTGGCGCGCGCGCCCGGGCCGCTCGGAAGAGGAGGAGGAGGAGGAGGAGGAGGAGAAGGAGGAGGAAGAGGAGGAGGAAAAGAAGGAGGAAGAGGAGGAGGAGGAGGAGGAGGAAGAGGAGGAGGAGAAAGTAGCTCTCAGCAGCCGGCCAGATTAAAAGTAACCAGACTCATCCAGAAAACTGCGTCCAGGAAGGAAGTGACAGAGGACGAATGGGAAAAGGAGAGCCGCTCGCAGCCTTTGAAACATCGCGTAAAAAAAAAAAAAAAAAAAAAGGCAAAAGGGGGGCGGGGGCAGTGGTGGAAGGATATTGGGAGGGGAGGCGGGGGCGGTGGAGCAGACGGGCCTGGGGCTCCAAGCGGCAAGTCCTGGGAAGCGCCTCTTGCCTTTTTTTTTTTTTTTTAAATTCTCCCCCCCCCCCTTTATTTTGTCCTTGCCCCTGCGTGTGCCGCGGCCTCGCGCCGCCCTCTGCTCTCCGCCTCCCTCGCCCTCCCGGCCCGCCGGCGCTCGCCCCGCGAGCCGCGCGGAGCCTCAGTTTCGCTCTCGGCAAAAGGGGGGCGGGACCAGACCTCGGAGCGTTGTAATAAAACAAACATACAGCAGTTCCCTCCTCACCCCTCCAGCCTCAACTAGATTGATAAATTGCTCCACCACGCTACTTTAATTATGTATATGGTATGCAGAATAAATCACTGAACATCAGTACCTCAATCAAGCACTTTTAAATGATAATTGCATCTTGGTGAATCAATCTCCCCATTCCTGACATTTTGCTAATTTTAGTTTTACGGTGGGGTAATGGCACATGCCATACGCAAACCTAATGACAATTCTTTATTGCACGAAACCGAAGACAACATCGCGAGCGGCGGATCCCGGCTCTCCCCACGCGGCGGCGGCGGCGGCGGCGGCGGCGGCGGCGGCGGAGGCTGCGGACGCTCCGGGCTCCGGCTCCGGCTCCGGCCGCCGCGCGCCCGCTCCCCGGGGACTCCGCGAGCCAGCCTGCAGGAAAGTCCTTCCAAAGTCGGGATCTTTCCTCTGACCAATAGGAGCGCGACCCTAACAGTTGCTCCTGTGACTTCTCCCCCCGCCCCACCCCCGTTTGCAGACGCGTTAACCACTTCTTTCTTCCGCGGGTCCGTGCGCTCCTCCGCGGCTCCCGCGTCAAAGCCCCCGAGCAGGAAGCCTGCGAGCCCTCGATTCCCCGCGCCTTCCCTGCACGCCCGGGACGCGCGCTCTTCGGCTCTGCAGGGCTGCAGGGCCGCACGGCGTGCAGAGAGACTCCTTACGCCTTATGCATGTACAGAATAATGAAATAATTACCGGTTCCTGAAATCTCGACTTCATCGCGGGGCCATGAACTTTCTAATCAGTTTGGAAATATTTACCGAGGCGGCAGCTTCCTCGGAGATCCCCCCCCATTCCTCCCCCCCCTCCACTTCTATCTCTTCCACACCTTACTGGATTTTATCCAGAGCATTAACATGTAAACCAAACCAACTTCCCAAATGCATTAGGCTTCCCTATCCGATAGCTGATGACTTCACTTATCCTGAAGAGTTTCAGCTGCACAGGAAGCAGAACTAGAGACTGATAAGGAAGATACTTATGTTAAGGTTTAAGCACAGTAAACACTTGTCCTTACCAAAAAAAAAAAAAAAAAAGGTTAATATTCAAGATTAGGAAAGCTACCAGGGGTCGGGCACCTTTCCTTCTCTAGCCAATGACACCACACCCAATAAAGCCAAAGTAAAATATACCAATAGTACCCAAACCATGAAAAGACAAGACTGCATGCCAGTAGAACTACAGATCATATAAAATGTTGAAACCCAGTTAAAAGATTTTAAACCTGTGAAAGGAAGAAGAGAAAATACGTTCGGGAAATGAAAACGTTGAAGGTGTAGGAGTAGACAATAGGAGTATACCGAAATATCTGGCTAATTAAAGATATTTCCTCACTTAAAAAAAAAATTCCTTTCAGCACTGTATGTTTAACCCAATGACTAGTTGCATTTCCTGTGAAGTTCTGCACCATGCCTCTAGACTATTTTAATGTGTGAGGACAGTGTGATTCAAAAAGCCTCCTGCTTCATTGTAGGGGCTATTTGATGTGAGTAGCTTTTCTCAGAAGAGTGGGCTCAACATTTAGGTGTCTGCCCCAAGGCTTCACTTGAAAGGAGAAGGTTGATTTTACAGGCAAGTACAACCAGATCTGAACAATCTTCAGCCTTGTGGCTCATCACCATTGTGACTGTATCAGCACAGTTAAGATGAATCTCTTGCTTTTATTACAGGAAAGCGTGGCACACTGTCACAAAGCAAAAGTCATCTGAAATAGTATTATTTCTTGCAGATTAGGATCTACAGTATATTTTTTGCCTGTTTGTTTTTCAGCTGGTGAGTTTGCTACTACCATGAATTCATTTTAATAATATGGCAGAGATAATCTGTATCAGGTTTTCATTCAAGGTACAACTTCTTAAAAAAAATCCAAAAATTTAAAGGTGCATACTCATTTTGAATACTAAGATATGTCTATGTATGGTGATAAAAATGAAATTAATTTTTTCCAGATTCACAAATGCCTTGAGAAAGCAAAACATTAGTAGGAACATCTAACTTTATTGCCATCATGCCCAAAATTAATGCAATGAATTGTAAAAGCCTATTTTACATGAACAAATAGACACAGGCAATACATGACTTTCGGCCATACTATTTTCGATGGATTACAGGTTATTGCTATTTACCTCAGCAGACTTCAGTTTTGGATAGTTTTCCTTCCAAAAAAAAAAAATCATTTTACCTTTTTAACATCTGAAAGAATTATTTAGTAATAAGCATTATAACAAGCCCATAATTATCAGTGATAGTACAAGTACAAAAATATGTATAACTCCACACTGTGGATAATTTGGAAATAATTTGGATCTGGACTGTATCACAGTTGGCCTTTTAAAATATAAGATATTCCCCTCAGCAGATTTAGCTTCTTAATTATGTGTGACCTAAGTTAATATTAGCATTAGTTTCCTTCCCATGAGCCTTCACAGTTGAAGCAGAAGATGTTGTGCAGAAATACACAATAGAAAGTCACCGAGATTTAAAATTATTCATTGGTAATCCACAAAGTGGTTAATACAAAATGTGCTTTGTATTCTTTGAATACTCTGGATTTAATTTTTTTTTCCCCCCAGTCATCCTGATCTCTGCCACCTAATGCTACTTGGCTAGTATCATAATATTTTTTGGTGTAGCGAGGAGCTTGTACTAGGTGTTAGGAGGCCTATATTCTCTGGCTCAAGATTTGTGCCTAATGAGTGTGTCTTTTCAGGACTTCAGATGCTTATTCATTATGTGAGTTAAGTGAATTCTCCAATCTATTCCAGTTCTATGATTGGAAAGTAGAAAATTCTTCTACCCTTTAAGCCAATTGGATGCTAGTGACCTATCATGTTAAATAAAAGGTGACAAATCATTTAAGAGAAAATGATGTCTGGGATTGTCATACTATTTAAATAAACTCCCCCCCCCCTCATTACTAAATAATTCCCTTATTAAATGATTGTCATAAGTGCTTTATTATGTATGTAATTATATATCTACTTGTTCCCCCTCAAAAGAATGGTTTAGCAATGTATTTAATTAAAGTGCCACAAACGTTACAGAGAGCATAATCCTCAGGACTTGAATCTAAGGAGTCCTAATTTCTCGTTTCTGTTCCAGGTTGTGTACCATCTTACTCCACCCTCCTCTCTTTACTACTTCCCTACATTAAATCAGCAGTACACTTAAACCCTGTTCACTGGGTATGCCTGCTTTTAAGCTTGGCCCACGCTGGGTGTAGCTCTTGAAGTGAGCTTTAAAAAATTATTTTAAAGTAAGCTGGGGCGGTTGCCACAGCAACCCACCCTAAGATGAAGAGAGGCTATAGATTAATCTACCCCTCAAGATTATTCAACTGTATAGTATTTGTTCTTCAGCCAGAACACTTTCAACACAAACATGATAATTGAACATAGAAGTTCAGAAAAATATACAAAGTAGTAAAATACAAATTCCAATAGCATTAAAAATGTTATATTTTTTTTAGAGTTTACAGTAGAGATGAGATACATAACTTCCCCTGAGATGGGTTAATTGCAAAAGAGACCTGCAAAGGTAGGCCCTGAAAGGTGACACGTGGGCTTTAAGGCAAAATGGCATGGTATTGCCTACAATGTAAAGCATATAATGGTTGCACCACTCTCTTTATTATCCCTTTTATGTGTCTACGTTATAGATACCTAATGACAGAGTTTGGCAGTTTTACCTTTAAGAATTAGCTTGGTGGTAAATGATATAGCAAATGTTAAGCACTCACCACATACACATACAGTCATTTGCCTTCCATTCTTTACTTCATCTCTTCATAGAAGTTACTTCACAGTTTGCAACTCTTCTTTGGCACCTTAAAATGTGTAAGTACAACAAGGTACATAGTTAAAACATTTTTTTTTTAAAGAAAGCTGATATTAAAGTACATTGAAATAAATTCATTTCTAAAACTTCTAATCTGAAGTAACATCAGTATTCTGTTTTTAAAACAAATGAATGTATGTTAAATATAAAATAATTAAAATTATCATTAATTGTGAAAATACTTATATCCTTTAATATAAATAGTGCCAAATATCTAAATTTCAAAAATTCTTTAGGTACAGCTTTAGCCTATGCACAGTATACACCATATGGACTGCTTGTGATTGAGAATCTGCAATATGCAAAGGATTTGTTATTCCAAGCCAAGGTTTAATCATATCCTTTATCTCATATCTAAAGAGCCTATATTTATCTTTATTTTTTGTACCTTTAATTTTGTATCTGATTAAGAATTACAAAGGAGAAAGTCAAAACCACCATACCCCAAGCTAACAAAATTTGTCAAGTTGGGATAATGAAGCTGCAACTGTAGTTGCTGAAAGGGCTTATTGTACATGTCGCCTAAAGGCCAGTTTTAAATACTTCGGGATTAGTGGTGTGGATTCAGTACCCTTTATGAATTCTATTACCAATAATACCTTATGCTTCCCACCAGTGTTTAACTATACTGAGCACAGACAAATGCTCCTGTGTTCTAACCCCTGCTTGAAACCAGCTTTCTATGACTTCCAGCATACAGATGAACTTTTCCCTGGCTTCAGAATGAGTCTACTCCTCCCAACCCTGAGACATATCAGACCAGGATGGTCAATACCCATTTACCCATCTGTATTAGCAACAAGACTTCTCACAGTGAAGGCTCATTAAGATTTACGAAGTCTCTATATTTGGGTTGACATTCCTAAGATTTATTTTTATTTTTAAATTGCCTCAGGCAAGGAGAAATGAATTTTGGCCACTCTTCCTTTAGGGGTGTTAGCTGAGCTTAGTCTTTTAGGCTCAGGCCCACAGTGAGTTAGTCTAAACTTAGTGACTGGTACTGGGTATCTGGTGACCTGGTGAATACCCTTTCTCCTAGCTTTGCTTGCTTTTGCAGTCTGCTAAGTGGGAATCATAACACACATCTCCCAGGGCCTTTTCACCTTACAGAAATGCAATCTTCATGGAATAATGTCTGAAAGGATATGCTACGGCTTATAACAGTGCCACTACAAATGATGATACATTTCTTCCTTTTCCTGGATCAGTATGCCCAAATAAGGCTACATCACTAATTTCCTTGCAAATGTGTGCCCCATTAAAAAGTATCCCTATGCATGGCTAAATTTGAAGGACTTTACCTTCCCTTACAAAATCGTTAAATGTTCATCGGAACATTGATTCTATTCCGTTTCTCGAAATATCACAGAAACCTTCAAGTCAAAGAATGGATGGTCACACTTCCCCTTTTAACTATTTTTTTTCTAGATGCCTCTCTACGTGTGTGCCCTTTAATTTTTAAAGATCTTTTTTTTTTTTTTTTTTGTAACCTGGGATCGGGGTGGGGAGGGGGGGTGGGGATTAAAAATCTCGTCCGGCGTTTTGGTGCCCACTTCTTTGTCTGGGAAGCCGAGGGCTGGAATTCCGTTCGGACGGCCCCTTAAAGACCCAGACAGGGGACGCCTCTGGTTTCAGCAGCTTACTCGGGGAGTTATTGATTGCAGGCAGCAACAATCCCTCCGGGTGATTTGGGTGGAAAGTGAATCCGCGCTGGCTGGGCGTTCTCAGAGGCGCAACAGCCGCAACGCCATCCAATTATTGCCGGTCGTCCCCTCCAACACCGCTCTCCACCTCCAGACTCCGCTCCCTGCCCAGCGCCACTTCCCCCCACCCACTTTTCTCAGAGCGGACCGACCTACCTATTCCTTCTCAGCCCGTCTCCGCTTCCCCCCCACCCACTTTCCTTGGTGCGGACGGAGCCGAGGGGGCGGGGGCTCCCTCCCGGGAGCGTTTCTAGAGCTCGGAGGCAGCTAGTAGGGGGTGAGTGCGCCACGTGCGTGCGCCACGGGCGCGGAGGAGGCGGGCTCGGGGCCCTGCGGGGCCTGCGGCCCGGTGCGCGCCCGGTGCGCGGAGGGGGGCGCGCTGTCCTGGCGGGGAGAGTGGCGGCGTGTGTCTCGCGGGCGCTGCCACGGCTTGGGGGTGGGGGGGTGCGGGGGGGGAGCGGCTGGGGGTCCGGCGGAGAGGCCGCGTGCAGGGCCGTGGAGGATGGGAGGAGGGCGCAGCGGTGGTGGGTGGGCCCTGGGAACGCTCGGTGGCGGAGTCGGGGAGTCGCCCCTGCTCGCCTGGTTTGGGGATCTTTGGGAATATTCCCTCTCGGTTGGCGAAAGACGCCCGCGGAGCGCCGGGGAGGAGTCCGAGCCCGGCGCCCGGGGCGCCCACCTCCGCGCGGTGCACAAAGCGCTGGCACGGCCGCCGGGGCTCGGAGCGCTCTGCGCGCCCGGGGGCACCGCGTGGCGGGCGCAGCTCCGGCCGCCGCCCCTGTCCCGCCGCTCGGCCGTGTTTGTCACCTGACGGAGCCTTAGGAGAGGACGCGGGTCCCCGAGCTGGACTGTGTAGCCCAGCCTCTGAGGGGCTACGCGATCATTTATTTAACCGCTGGGTCTGGGAGTTAAGCTGCCACGGGGGGATACGTGCGCGTCTTGGTGAGGGACAGGCCACAAACTACACGACAGTTGGGATACGAGGGAGAAAAGACACAGAACCCCCCCCCCCCCCAACTTCCTTTCCCTTTCCATCCCCTTTCTCTGCCGGCACGTGAGAACAGTGCCGGGATCTCTTGCAAAAATGCCATCCCGAAAAGCAAATGCCTGGGCTGCTGCTTTGATCTGCCCAGTGGAGCTGAACCAAGGGCGCCCAGAGTGGCGGGAAGACCCATGCTCCTAAGGCACTGTCCAGTACTCGGCTGAATAAATCAAAGGTGCAAAGTGTTTGTATTGTCCTGCTCTTGAAGCTAGAAGCTGCTACCAATATGGTAGCCGCTCCCCCCCACCCCCTATGGCTCTTTAAATTTAAGCTTATTAGAATTATGGCAAATTCAAAATTCAGTTCCCCAGTTATCCTGGCCACATTTCAAGTGTTCAATAGCCACAGGCGCCTGATGGCTACCTTATTTGACTGCGAGATGCTGAACGTTGCCATCATTGCATAAAGTTCTATTGGAATGTGCTGCTCTGGAGTTTTAAATGAATGCTGGTTAAAAAAAAAGAAGAAGAAAAAGAAAGAAAGAAAGAATCTGCTTTGTGATACCAGCCAAATTTTAGGACACTCTTGGCATTTGCATTTCCTGGCACAAGTGTGGAAAGTTTTAAAGTCAGAATTTCCGTATCTTCCTGCTGAGAGAGGTCTTAGGGAACATTCAACACAAGCACCTAATTTCTGTTTTTACAGGGAAGACAAGTGGGGCCCAGAGAAGTTAACAGATGCACCTCCAAATCATGCCATAAATTTAAAAGGAAGATAAGGTCAAGGTACAGGGTCTATCTACTACTACACTTTGTGCCCCATCAAGGCACCTTGCCTGGGGCTGCCTAGGCAAGTTAACCCCACAGGAAGGTGGCCTGGCCCAAGATTTTCCACAGGAGTACCCGTTTTACAAGAGAAAATACTTCCAAGCATTCTTCTAGGAAGAGATTCTAATAAAGAATAAGGTGTGTAGGAAATAACACTGTCTCCCAAACTAAAAATGTATTATTGGTAGCTTCATAGATTCATATCATGTCTTAAAGAGACTGGTTGGGATAACATTGTTCCTTATTTATACTTACAATACTCTGAGGAAGTGGCATTATCCTTTTTTTTTTTTTTTTTTTGGCATTATCCTTTTAAAGTAAGAGCTAAAAAGCATTCGAGGCCAGGGAGAAAAAAATATTACATAAGGTGAGAATTGTTAGTAAAGCATAATCTTCCCCAAATTTGATCAGTTACAAGGTATAGAACCTCCCTTTGCCTCAGTTTCCTCATCTGTAAAATGTGGAACATAAAGTGCTACTCCTAAAACTTTGTTAGGAAGATTAAAGGAGCCACTCAACATAAAGCACAAGGCTGGGAAATTGGTAAACTGTAGTAAAACACATTCTTATTTTCCTGCAAAGAGTTTCTACCTCTACACTATTAAGTTCCATGTTCACCCACACAGGAGCTGACAGAGCAGCGAAAGCTGGAGAAGTAGATCATCAGAGGGGTGGGAATTGGTTCAGGATGAGAGCTTTATGTTTAAGAGGTAGAAATCTCTTCAATCCTAAAATTCCCTGACTGAATGGGTATGGGTGGTCTTATTTCTCTTTCACAGGCATGGTGTCTCTAGTATACCTCGAGACTTTCATTGTCTTAATTTATTATTTTTTTGTCTTGAGGGATGCTTCTTCATACTTGTTAGCTGCTTGGTTGTTGAAAAGGCACTGGAAACTCCAAGTCCATCCTCTTTCACCCTGGTTGACCTTTGGAATGCTGTTGTCAGCCAAGAAGACATTGATATCTTCAGTCTCCTGCTAGCTTGAATTCTTTAGGGCAGAGCCTGCTCAGATTATCTCCTGATGTCATTCCAAATGTCTGATGGCCATCTATGGCAACGGGGCTGGGCTGAGGCCTGCCAGGAAGGGGGAGCCCATGGAATGCTTAATGGAGCATTCTGGTCAAGAGGGACCTAGAGGTTGTTCTCTGTTGGATGCATGATCAACATTACAACTATGTCTAGGGCACTGTTTGCTGGTTCTTGCAAAACAGAAGCTATAGACTTTTTTTTTTTTTTTTTTTTTTGGTTTTAATAAAGTCCCCCTTGGGACGTGTATGATTTCTATTGATTTAAATTTGTGTAAATATGTGTTACAGGAAAAACGGACTCAGAAAGTGTTAACAAACAATTTATATCTGGTATTCCTATTCCTGCTAACTCTCCTCAGTAAGAACACCAAAATAAGGTAAAGAAATTTAGAAAGGAGAGAATAAAGCCACCACACCACAAAATGTACCTTGTTTTCTTTATCTCTGTAGGTAATTTTCCAAATGATGGTATTCTACTTAGTTGAGAACTTACAAAATTACTTCTAAAATATTTTATTTATAACCTAAAATTATAAACCAAGAAAAATAATACAAATTTTATTTTTTTAAGAAGGAAGGATCATGCATAGATTTATGTGTTTCCCATACATACTAAATTTGAAAACAAGGAGGTGCGTAATTATATCCATATTCTAATTTACCAGGAAAAAGAAAGAATTAATTTTCATTGCTTGAGATGAATTCTCCCTAAATTGGGGATTCCTGGGTGGCTCAGTGGTTTGGGGCCTGCCTTCAGCCCAGGATGCCATCCTGGAGTCCTGAGATTGGGTCCCACATCAGGCTCCCTGCATGGAGCCTGCTTCTTCCTCTGCCTGTGTCTCTGCCTCTGTCTCTCTCTCTCTCTCTCTCTCATGAATAAATAAATAAAATCTTAAAAAAAATCTCCCTAAATTATTTTGGAATATGATCAGAATTAAAAGTAAAATGCAGTAAAACTTTTTAAATTTAAGTCAGGAATGAAAACTGGTCTGATTTACCAATATATACTAGTTCACTGAGTCAAAGACCCAAACCAAGGAGGTCTGATTTTCTCTCTCTATATATATATATATAATTTTTTTACTAAATTTGTAGTTAGATATTTCTATGTGAATATTCATATTTGTAATACAAGGGTTCTGTCGTATATGTGCAAAAATAATATTACCTTATTAGAATGAGAGTTGAAATAAAATAGTTTTGAAGTGCATAATATTTAATGGCCAGCCAGTCATTATTCGTTAGTCTTGTATTAACAGCTTTAACTAATTTAATTGTATTAACTGCTTTATAAACTTTTTTCTTTTTATCCAAACAACCTTTCAGACAGGCACTACAATTCTCCCCATTTTATAGATTTTAAAAACTAAAGCTTAGAGAGGCGACGTGACCTGCCCAGCGTCTAATAACCCCTAGGTGCCAAAGGACGCGAAGCTAGGTTTGTTTGTTTCCAGCTGATGCCCTTGGCTATGATGCTGTGTTGCTTCCTTAGACTCATGACCTTTGCTCCCTTATAAGGATGATATCAGGAGGTGATATAATTGATATTTTTCCACCCACCAGAAAATATTTTAGAAATACGTGTCTAAATGTGTGTCATCCTCTTCAGGGTAGACAGCTTAGGAGGTTAATTGCTTATTTCAGTAATAATGTCCTTGCACAGATCTCTAGAAATCTTAGGAATTTGCTATTCAATCTTAACAGTTTGTTGGCAGATCATTATTATTAAGGATGAATTTGCTGGTGAAACTAAATTCAAACCAAATGTAGTGAAAAGGTGCTTAATGGAAACTGTGATGTGATTATAAAGCAACAGATTATTTGATATCTGGTGCATAAATTGGCATTAATTGCAGATACAAAAGGGGAATTTCAAGGGTATTCTGATGTGAATGTGTAGCCATTAAGGAGACATTTTGGCAAGTAATATAAATTTTTAAAAAGTTAGTTTCATTAATTAAAAGTTATATATCATGTATGAATGTCATGGGAAATATCTTTGCAAAGAATATACAAGAGGCAGGGAAGGGTATGTCAGAGACCCTGGATTAGAATCCAAGCTCAGACACCATAATAACCATTTGACCTTAATTTTTGAAATGTACTTATTATAAAATAGAGAATGTGGCAGGACCTATACAGGATGATAATTTTCCTGGGAGGAGGACATGAAATTGTACTTCTATAGTCACCGAGTGCCTGGCATGTAGAAAATGCTCAGTAAATGTTAGCTAACATTTTACTATTTCACTTTTAAGGACTACCCCATGTTCCCGGAAGACATCTCCATGTCTCATTTATCTGACAATATTTTAGAAGTTGTTTCCTTTTCCATCAGCTTCCATGCTTCAAAGCAGTTTTTATTTCATAATAGAGTTTTTTATATTTGAAATAAATATAAAATATTTAGGATAACATGCAGATTAAACTAATGTATACTA